CTTACTTACTTACTTACTAGTTACTAGTTACTTACTTATTTACTAGTTACTATACGTACTTACTTACGTCGTTAACTACTTACGTCGTTAAGCACGGCTTTCAGCTTCGTCAGGTCGGTGAGGTCTTCGTACAGCCGGTCCTCCTTGGCCGCGCCTATCTTGATGAAGTCGCCGAAGATGATCGGAGTCTTAGCAAAGCTCTCAGCTTCTACGGTCTTCATGTACGGCGAGAAACCAAAACATCGATATCAAACACGCACGCACGCACGCACGCACGCACGCACGCACGCACGCACGCACGCACGCACATAGCGTCCCCAAGAAGCCGAGAGAGGTAATATGTTACTATATAAAATGGCAATATGTAGTGCAGTTACAATTTCTTTTTACAGATCTGCTAAGAAAGGCCTGCTGAACCCCTCTTTTTTCATTAGTACCATTAACCTTTAACACATATACACTCAATCATTAAATATTCAAAATTGCTATATAACAAAGCACAATGCAATCACAAACCCAGTTTCAACTACTGCATCATTAACATGAAACATTCATATATCTATACTTTCTTATCTATCGATACTATCTTACTTCTCAGATTAGTAACACTGTAACGACTTTGACGCGTTGCCCTCGATACCTGGTTAAAGTGACGGGAGGCCATCTCGGTGAGCAGGGAGTGGAAGTAGGATTTGTCGTTGTGTTCGATGAGTCGATCGTGGAACACTCGCTGCGCCTCATGACAGAACAGTCGAAATACCTGCTGCTGGGTCTTAATGACTGCTGGCACCACCTGTAGGATTCCTGAGAAAACACGCAAATCAAATCAATTATATTCACATGCAGAGAGAAAGAGAGAGAGAGAGAGAGAGAGAGAGAGAGAGAGAGAGAGAGAGAGAAAATATGTAAGGGTGAAATCGATATTCAATAACCCAGGTGACATTGCAGGCTACAAGTCCCATGTGACATGATTTCTTAGAAGTATATAGTTCACCTTAACAGCAGCGTTGAGTGCTGGTAATGCCTCGTCCAGGTCTCTTTGCGGCATCTGCAGGCGATGTCTGAAAGTCTCCTCGCCTTTTGACCTTGTCCCATGGCTTCGATCTTCATCACGAAGCACTCTCTTACGCTGGCAATTTATGGAGAGGTCAGCGTCTACACATACGCACGATGAGGTGCTAACACGCGATAGATACATATACCGGTACACTACTGCTAGCAAAGCATTTCTATATTTCGGAGATTTACAATACTTTGTGATTTATTTAGGTATTTTAAGCTACCCACGATTTACTTAAACAACATCCGCACGCACACTCGCACGCACGCTCGCACGCACCATCGCACGGCACCGCACAACACACTGCACACACCACACACGCTAATATCTCAACATGCTCCTCTGGAAAAGCATTTCAGATGAGATTAGGCTGAATATCATGACTTCACTGCTTTAGGTGATTAGACTAGATGATATAAAGCCCGAAATTCTTCCTTAATACAATCTGACACCTATTCAGGCACAGAATTAGAGACACACATTATACCTAGTCTATAATATGCCGAAAACATAAAGGAAACCTAAAAACCCTAGAATAGCATTCAATCATGAATAGTTCTAGCGCACAGTTCAATTCGTGCTACGCGACACTAACACACACGCACATACCACGCACGGCACGCACACAATGAACACAGCACATGTACACGCACACATGCACACACTACCTCCTTAGTAGTAGGCATAGGTTCGGGGGTATATTAGTCTACATGCGACACACAAGGACACTACCTGACAGCTTTCTTCCCTGTCGATCGAGCGAGTTTCCGTCCAGCAGCTTGGCCACGTCCTCCTCCCTCGTCTTTAGGTACGTGGCTCGTATGGCCTGTAAGCTGCAACCTGCCATTAAGCTGACTAGCTCGTTCGTCCTCCAGCAAGCTTCTCTACGCCGTTCTAACTCATGTCCCCTCGCAGCACACAGCTGGCCTGCAGAGTGCAGGGTGGAGGCGGTGAGTCATCGCAGGCACACGAATCGACAGATAAGGTGTGCTAAGCGTACTTATGATTATGTGTAGTGGGGACGAGTTGTAAGAAGTGTCGGTTGAAAGAGCTCAACTTTTACCGAAAGTACAGACACTCTAGGATGAGTTGCATTTTAGTAATTAGATTATAGTAATTAATTAAACTAATTGCATGATTACTTTCGTGATTATTTTATTTTATTCTAATTATTTACTTAATGTTATTAAATTATTCAACGTTAATTACATAATTTTAATTTGTTTAGTTTAATTAACTAAACTAATTGCATGATTAATTTAGTGAGACGCGTACTTCTTCTTGTCGTTTGAGCATGGTCAGGTAGACGTTGGATTAAGCTCCAAGGAGCTGGTGGGCGTCGTGTAGTACCGTGCGTGCGAGTTCCGCGTAGAACACTTCGCGACATCATCTGTCAGCGCGACAGATGGATCTCACAACACATCTCCGAGATTGTTCCCTGGAATATATAGTTCAGTCGTGGCAGCATATACCAGCAATTCTGCAGCAGTTATCAACATTGGTGTGAAGTAACAAGTTATCAAAATAGCTATACATATATATATAACGATATATATTATATATACGTATATACATGTATATATATATATATATATTATAATATATATGTACGTATATACATGTCATATATATATTGTCCATATATTATATATATAATATTATATATATATAGTATATATATATATATATAGTATATATATATAATATATATATATCTACGTAATATAACATGTATTAAACGTACATATATATGTATATCTATAGAGAGAGAGGAGATAAGCAAGAGAGCAGAGAAAGGACAGGTGTAAGATCATACACTGTTTTTCCGACTGACCTTCATCGAGTCTTCGCCCAGTCATTCTACATGTCTCGAAGTCAAGGACTCCGACACGGAGAGCAGAGCCTCTGCGTGCCACTCTGTAAAGCCAATCGATCGCAGTCAGTTGTACCGGAGCCGATGAAACAATCGCGGCATCTCGCCCCTGAAACATTCAACCGCTCACTGTCTAGTTTATTATACCATAACATATGTTGGCTCATTCTATATGCTTATTTACACGCTATATAGAACGTATACTAAAAGAGAAAGACAGAGAAGACATACAATGTTTATGGCATGTAGAAGGGAGACGGAAGTGAGGAGTACTGAGGTTTGTGGAAGAATTAGAGAATGCCCCTGGAAAAGACCGGTTGGAACCAGTTGAAGACCAAAGAGAACATGGATATAGGGACAGTGGCAGAAAGATCGAAGAACATTGAATATAGATGAAGGATCAACCCGCAGGCGACAGAGCAACCGGTGGAGGAGGAATCATCGCAAGGTCAACCCCAGCCGGGAAACATATGGACTATAAAACGAAGATATGATGATGATGATATAGAACGCTAATACTAACTAAAACTACAACTTCGCCACACACTAACGATACTGGTAGTATCTCTGGCAGAAACAATGTTTTCAACCAACGTACATCGTGCATATTGCCATAATGGCTTGAATACAACAGTATTCAAGCATTTATTTTTTATTAAATAGTAAAGTTTAAAAAATATAATTGCTATGTGTAAACGGCAGGCAGACCCATTTCCTAGAGGAAAGCATTTTAATACAGGCCAAGTTTGTGACATTAAGCACCTACTTCAAGGAAAACCCCTGAAAGTGCCTTTAATAGACAGGTGTCCAATTCTCATCGAGTATCTGGCTAAACAAGATTGACCATGTATGTCTCAAAAGTGGACACAATCGATTTCCATTCAGCAATCATGCAGCCTAAGCATAGGCACCCGAAATGAACACCCGCGTCTATAAAATGCGCTTTCTTGCGTTCCACTCAGCACCCTTTATACGCAGGTGCCGACTGGTGCGCTAACGACCCTTATACGCAGGTCCGACCGCGGCTAAGCGACCCTATACACAGGTCCGACTACCGGCGCTCACCTGAAGCTGGCTTCGACGCGATCATGTGCAGAGCACAGAATGTGCAGGTTTGCAGGCGCACGGCGGCCGATGAGTAACGCGTAGATGGCGTCGCGGTCGTTGTCGGCGACGCCGGTGGCGCGCGCGTCCTGCCGGCAGCCGTTGATGATTCGCTCGTACTCGTCCGCCTCGAACAGGTTGGGAACCTCGCCCGAGTTCAGGATGTTGTTGATGTCCTCGAGGAATTCCTCCACTACGATCTGACACACGTGGGTACATGTAAACTTTCAGTGACTATTAACTGGCACACTGGCACACGTGGGTACATGTAAACTTTCAGTGACTATTATCTGGCACACTGGCACACGTGGGTACATGTAAACTTTCAGTGACTATTATCTGGC